TTACATTTCAAAACTATCTTCTTGCACAGGATACATTTAAGGCACTAATGTAAATGGCCTTTTTTTTTTTTTTGCCAATATATCTAAGAAATAAGTGCAAAGACTCATGCTGATATCAACTGACTTCATATGATTATCATAGAAAGGTTGAAATCCTGAATTGTGGAAAACTGGTATGTAAGAGAGTAATTTTGTATAGTCATAATGATAAAAATGCCCAGGAGTTACATTTATAGTCAAATGTAGAAGGAAAATTCAAGCAGGCAGTTAAGGGCATATAAATATTATTTTGATTTTATAAAAATGGCAAAATGTCCCTGAAAATGAAATATATTTACCATAACATACATATATACACATCCTAAAGACTATAAAAATATTTTAAAATGCCCTTCAATTAATATTGGTGTTATTCTGGCTTTATGAAATAAAATGGCTTCAATCCTTTTTAACAGCTGCAAAATTTGATTATGTAGGGATATCTTCCACAAGTAATCAAGCAAGTTGGCTGCTTACTAAAGCAGCAATTACTGTAATGTTGCATCCAGAAACCAATAATAGATCACCCAGTAAGAATAAATGTGAAGAAACTCACAAGTTTAGAAAATTAGATTATGTAGAGTAAAGGGAGGGGTTTTTTTTCTTCCCCCCAAGTATTACTAGAGAGAAGAAACTTATATATATGAACCATGAATTATTTGGGAAATGGGGGGGAAAGAATTTTTCTCACACAATGTGATTCCCTATTAACTTAGGGAATATTCTTCCACAAGAATAAAATGACTGAAGCAAGATGGATGGATCTCTTTTCCAATAGATGTATTGGAGAAGTAATCTTGGTAAACTTTGCAAATGCAAAGGTTACAGAACAAAATTTCCCAAGGGATAACTGTGGTGGTTCTTCTCTGATGGAAGGCTTTTTTAAGCCACAGAATAGGAGTGCTGACTTGTGGGAATGTATATTAAATAGAAAAAACTTTTGCTGTAGGGAAGTAGGGAAAAGAAAGGAAACTGGGGATGTTTCAATATATGTTGACACTATCCAGGTACAGAATATGCATTAAAAGGAAAATGCATTTTAATTCAGTTTAGCAGATGATAGGACAAAGTAAATTTATCTTAGGGTTTTTTTTTGTGAGCTGAAAATTAGAAAATTATGCTCATTAGTCAGATATCATTCTTTAATCTTACTCTGTCTTAAAGAGGCAGCCAAGACATTAGTACAAGAAATAATGAATACATAGTTCAGGAAAGTCCAAAATGATAATTAATATTAATGAGAGGGAGGAACTGGACAAGGAGGGATTAAATCTTTCTCCTCATATCACTTTTTCCCAAGCTACAAATCAAAATTAAAAGTTGTCCATGCAAATCATAATCACTTTAAGAGAAAAACAGGAAAATGTAAGGGAAGAAAGACTTATGTCAATCTAGCTAGGACATCAGGCCAGGACAAATCAATGAGTTGTTGCTTTGACTATTTTAAAGCATGGGTAAAAGTATTAAGGACTGCGTGCTTCACCTGAATGAGAATCATATGGGTACTGTAGAATATACAGGGAGTTGTAATTCTCTTTCCCTGTTAGGGATGGGCTTTCTGAGTAATAGATGCCTTGATTCACATTTACCAACAAGCTTGTTTCTATAAGAATTTCCATCTCTCCTATCCAAATAGCAAGCAAACTCACAGAAAATAAAACCCTCTACCTAGTTCAAGGTATAATTTTCTCCTCTCTAAGAAACACTCCATTTTTTTCTTTCATGCACCAATTGTTTTAAAATATAGAGAAATGGGGTACGGACTAGAGACCATGCAAATTACATGCCTATGTGGCATTGCCACCGCAGATCACCTCCTTACTAAATCCACTCCCAAATTAAACATGCCAATGAGCTACAAAATCACCAGCCTTTTTATAGTTTCACCTCTTACTTTTGTTCTATCACACAAAATATTTTAAAGCAAATCTCCCAGAGTTTCTATGTACTGTACTTGGGTTAGCAGGCAACATCTGAAAATGTTTGCATTTGAATGGAGATGGACACACCTGCTTCCACTTGAACTGGGAACCACTGGGGGCAGAAGAAAAGAGCAGCTGCCTTAAGTCCAGTGATCGTAGACTCTTGCCTTTGGAAAAAACCCAGACAGCAACACGGGTGACCACTTAAAAAAACAGTAAACAGGACAAGTCATGCTTAAGGTAGCAGCTCTAACAGAGCTTCATCAGTATTAATGCTGATGCCTTACATCTATTTGCACCCAGAAGAATTCGAAATTTGCTCTAATTGATGGGAAGGATGTATGTGCTGTGTTTTAAAAACTTGTATAGTTGAAATTCCCTGGTGTTCTCCGACATTAAGAGGGACACAGCTTCTTAGAAATAAATGTATTTTAAAAAAGCATAACTGAGATTTATCACCTCTAATTATAATTAGTCATTTTAACACAATGAATGGTGGGTATTCTGATGCTATTCTATTGTAAACAGTTCAATATGTTATTATGTTTATTTGTATCCTGCCTTTATTATTTTTACAAATAACTCCTTCCTACATTTTCCAAAACAACAACCCTGTGAGGTAAGTTGGGTTGAGAGATGGTGACTGATTTAAAGTCACCCAGCTGGTTTTCATGGTTAAGACAGGACTTGAACTCATGGTCTCTGGCTTTCTAACTTAATGCCTTAACCAATAGACCAGTTTACTGCAGGTACATGCCACCTGACAGGATATAGGAAGTCCTCAACTTACAACAGTTCATTTAGTGACCATTCAAGCACTGAAAAAAGTGACCTATGGTTGTTTTTCATACTTATGACCATATGGGCAGTATTCCCATAGTCACATGATCAGAATTCAGATGCTTGGCAACTGTCCCATATTTATGATGGTTGCAGTATCCCAGGGTCATGCGATCACCTTTTGTAACCTTCTGACAAGCAAAGGTCATAAAATGGGGCAAAACTGAGTTAACAAATGTCTCACATAAATTTGAAACTCAACTGTGGTAGTAAGTCGAGGACCACCTTGAGAAACTGGAAAGCTAATGAATTTGCTGATGTCATGCAATATTTGTCTTTGTCATATAAATCCATGGACCACCTCTTTATAATTCTGGGCCTTGGATGTGTTTCATTATATGGTAAGGGGTTTGGCTCTGTCTATCATATAAAGCTGCCAAATTTATAGATGCAAACTCCCTGAATCTACTTCTCACGCTCACATTGCTTCATTTTGGCCACTATGCAACTCTGGAGGTGCATAGCGTGAGAGGTTTGCTAGTTTACCCTTTGGGAAACCGTGTTTTTTCTCCCCTGACTTCATAATTTGCCTAAATTACGAGCAAGCATGACATACATATAACACCCATTAAGAGATGGGCTGACCAAAAAGCAGAAAATTTTTTGAACATAGATATATAATAGAAGTTAATCATATCTTATTTCTATCTATTCAATCCAATGAAGTACTGCATGTCAAAACACAAGGAACAGCAATGTGAAATGCAGCAGCTGTGGAGCAATTCTAAAGTAACAGGTGAAAAGATTGGACTCATCATTGTTAAAATTTTAAAACACATAAGACTATTTACAATACAAACTCCATTATACTATCAGTAATTATTAAATTACTGATTAGATTATATAAATTCAATTTATATTAAATTACTGATTAAATTATATAAATTCAATAAAATAAAAAAAATAAAAAAAAATAAAAACAGACATCTTTAGATTTCATCTAAATCTGAAAACTCCTTTCTAGAAGCATATGGACTCCATATATGTAAATCCATTTTTCTTACAAAATTGTTAAATATATTGTATTTTTAAAGATACTACCCTTACACATGCTTTCCACATTAAATCATTTGAATTTGTGTAAAAAGGTAAGTAAAAACTCTTGATATTTCCAATGTTTGGTTTCCTGCATATGCTGGGTCCTCGAAGCTGTCATACAACTGTTGCTCAGTTAATAAATATGGAAATATATATGTATCATAGAGATACATCCTATATTAATTATAACAACTCCTTTTAGGGAGTAGAGAGGCAACCAGTACCATCATTTGTATTTAAAAACTCAGGATCCGCATTGTTGATGATAAAAATCAATAAATTTAATCAGGTTTCACATAAAATATTATTTAAAATATCTGGATGTATTACTTGGTTTGATATTGGTGCTGTTATTTGCATAGGAATTGAATCTAGAGAATCATGATCAGCAATCAAAGATCTTGATTGCAATAAAGCCATTGCTTAGTTGCAATTGTATGTTGAGTATGGAGTTTGAGCTAAATTTTCTGAACACTGTAATTACAGGGTTCTCAAGAAAGCCTTAGAAATAACAGTACCCCAAGAATGACAGATGTTACATGACAAAAATTATGATTAATGATCGATAGACATAACTCCTTGAAAGCCAAAAAATAGAATATGCATGCTTCAAAGCATATTTTCTCTCTGAATGCACAGTCCTAGAGATCACTGAATTTGATTTATAAATATATTTACCAAAATAACTGCAAGAGATATGGATGTCTATATGTATACCTGAAGCTGAATTCAGATGGAATAGATGTATTGGTTAAACTTTTATGTTCACTACTACTAGGCCACTGATTAAAAAACTTTGGGATATTTAAGGATTGCCTTGGAGTATTAAAAATATTATAAATATAAATATAAATACATATACATATACAGTAACTATGGTACATAACTCAGAAACTTTGGTAGATAGAATATATCCTGGAGAAAGCCAAACCAGAAAAATAGGAAAGTGTAAAATAGCTTAATAGTGCATTTTCTTTTTGTAATGTGCATCATTAATGTTCAATGTCTATCTACATTTAAATTATTTCACATCAAGTTGTCATTATCCTCTAATTTAGAGATTTCCAGATTCAACAGTTACAGAGTCTGCTTTCTGCTTATATCTTTACAACTAGTAAAATCATGCTGTTTTTTATTTTTAAAAAAACCACAATTATACCATTAACACATTGCCATATTTGTTTGGCATGCTACAACAGAAGGCTTTATTTAGGTCAATTGGAGAATGCTGGCAATTGAAATTTTGCCAATTTGTGGACATAAGCTTTGAAGTATAGGCTGCATGTAACTCAAATACAAGTAATACTTTAATAACAATAACTTACAGATACAAACTAATGATGAACTATAATTTCACAAAGAATTGTAAACATTTTGCACAATTGTCAGTCCTGTCTTTTAGGCAAAGTGCTCTTTTGATGATAAATAAATTAACAAACACATAGCTAGAATGGACTACTTCCAGACAATACAAAAAAAAAGATGTTTCTCTTCAATAAAGTTTGTAAACATACAGTATTTATGGAGAAAGCCATAAAAGTGTCCTGCAAGCCATCTATACTTACATACTTGGGCAACTAAATGGTCTTCAAAACACTTTGGATGCTATTTAAGATTAAATTGATTTTCAATGACAGAGTACAATAGGTGACTCAGAATGTATCTCCTTAATCTCATGTCCCTGAAATAAATAAATCAGATGTGATTTATTGGCAGTTGTGTCAGTGAATGGGTTAGCAAAGACTGGAGTCCAAGAGCAGAAGGTGAATGAGCTACAAAAATAGAAAGATTTTTGATCAGCCTGGCTGGAAGTACAAAAATATTACTTGTGAATAAAAAAAACCCAATTGTATTGATATGGCTGGGATACTAACAAGCTGTACCCATTTCACAGCTTGTGAAAAAGTCCATGTCTAGAAAGACAGTGCCTTCCAGATGTTCATACCCTTGGTGATGCCTGCTTCTCCCAAATGAACTGTGTTTATATCTGTAGTTCTGCAAGTTGCAGGGAAGGAATTTTATTGCAACTTCATTTAATGTCTTGCTGAGCACATCTACAACTAAGAAAATTTTCATCATAAATATATAGAGTACTTTAAATGATGATAGCTATTTCAGCTAAAAGGAGAAGCCACAGCTTTTGTTAGAGCTAGGTGTTCTTTTTAATCAACAGTGGGTATCAAAATATGCCTAGAATAAGGTCAGTGTACCTTAATATATATATTTCTTTCATCTACATGAACAATTTGATTATGAAGTGTATGTCTGTGTTTTAAGTGCTATGTAAATAATACCTTTTAACATTTGGGGAAGGGGTTGGACTATATTCCTTTACTCCTTTAAAATGTGATATTCAAATGGTGTGATAGGTGGAATGTGGTGCTTAAACATTTCATTATTTCCTTAATTCACAAAAGGATATACTGGAGAAGAAAATCCCAATCTCATTGTATTGAAGAAGAAAAAAGAGTTCTAGCTATGGACAAATCCAGAGCTAGAGTTGAATATAATCCCAAATACACTTTGGGAATAGAGCTTGCAAAATAATTGTAATATGGCTTAATACCTACTCATAGCTCCCGTGACCTAAAAACCTACTAGAAATGGTCAAATAAAGTTCTACTGTTATCATGAAGGTCTGTGAAAGGTCATGGGGAGAGCAACCTCATTATCAATCATCCAACTATTATTTTAAAAAAAATAATCTTGCCTGCGAATTATCTCGCTTTTCTTTGAAGAATTCTTGTATCCCCCATATTGATAGATAACTATAAGAATAAGGGCAAACATTGTATACTGCAAACCTGAAAGGAATCTTTGGAAAAGTAATATGAAAAATTCAAGAAGGTATGTAGGAAATGATGCTATCATATTTTAAGTCTAGGATTTAGAATTCCACTAGTGGGTGGGGAGAATAGTTCTTTACACTGAACTTATGCCTGTGATTCTATATTGCAAATGGATAGAACCATATTAATTACACATAATTCCATTCTTTCCATGCAATTTCAACAAATGCAAGAAGCCTCAGAATCAGCTCCTTTAACAAAGTGAAATAATAAATTAGTAGCACACTTTAAAGCATTTATTCTGAGGAGAAATATTATATGTAAAGCTCCCGTTTCCTTCTGAGCCGATAGCAGACATTGCTACTCTCATCTCAAATGTCTCTCTGCAACAGTAGGTCATGGAGTTTTTAATTTTTTTTAAACAACTCCCTGGAAAAGCTAGGGTTTCTCACAAATATGATATTGGACACAAAATAAAGGCAGAATTGGCAGCCTATGGGTTGCATGGTGCCCAACCCTGAGCTAAAGGATTCATTTCACCCAATCTTCTCAAGTCCACAGAGTAGTTATAGCAAGCCACTGTACCTACCATCCATGTAACTATGGAGAGCTGTTAACATTGTCCCATCTTGTGGCACATATGCTGAATATGCCATTTCTTCTAACATTGGTGGTGAAAGCCTAGAAGTTTGGACTGTTGAAACAGGAGCAGTGGATGAGTGGTTGGGGCTAACGTGTTTCTTATGGCGTGCTCTACAATTTTGAAACCATACCTGGAAATGAAACAAAAAACCCCAAGAATTTGGTTAGTTATTAGACTTTTATTTTCATGCTAAACAGATGAATTAAAAACATAGTTATTAGTTGCAATTTTTGCATTGTGTCATCCAGATAGAATCCAGTTCATAAAATCTCATATTTTTTCTCTCTAGTCATATATACTGTAATGACTACTGTAATGCTCTCTACATGGGGCTCCCCTTGAGGAGCACCCAGAGGCTCCAACTGGTGCAGAATGCGGCCGCGCGGGGGATTATGGGAACGATGGGGCGCTCCCATGTGACATCCCTCCTGCGCGAGCTGCATTGGCTTCCGGTGGTCTTCCGGGTGCACTTCAAGGTGTTGGTTACCACCTTTAAAGTGCTTCATGGCTTAGGGCCTGGGTACTTACGGGACCACCTTCTGCCACCGATAGCCTCCCACCGGCCAGTACGCTTCCACAGAGAGGGACTCTTCAGGGTGCTGTCGGCCAGACAATGTCGGCTGGCGACCCCCAGGGGGAGTGCCTTCTCTGTGGCAGCACTTGCCCTCTGGAACGACCTGCCCCCAGAGATACGTAGGATACCAGATCTCCATGCTTTTCACCGTGCCCTTAAAACTTTTTTATTTCATCAAGCTGGGCTGGCATAATCCCCCCCTTAGATATTTTTAGATATTTTTAACTGTAAATTGATTTTAGTTGGGGTGTTTTAAATTTATTGGGCCAAAATTTGTTTAATTCTTTTAAAAATTTTAAATTTTGTATGTGATGTTTTTATTCTTGGCTGTTCACCGCCCTGAGTCCAGCAGAAAGGCGGTATAAAAATTTAATAAAATAAATAAATAAAAATAAATAATATACATACCCTATAGAAGCTCTATAGAAGATTACATACACAATCATTATAACTATGACTTGCATTGCTGATAACTATAAATCATATTGCTTCAGCCATGTGGAAATATTTAATAGGAAACATTAACTGTATATTTTTCTCTTGGAAAAATAAGTTTCTGAAATATTATAAGCTATTAAAAATTATTTTAACTAAAAATATACTGGGCTTTTTTAACTTTATAAAAGTGGAGAACTTTGGTCACAACACTTGTGAAATATGCAGTATAGTTACTTGTATCACACGCCTGCTCAAGCCTGTTCTTTCTGCCAGTTTTTGCAGTGTTTGTGCATCTGGATTGTTATCCTGAGCAAACTGTGCTTGCATTACCTGTAAAAAAAAATTAGCATGTTTTATGACATACTGACAAAAACTGCACAAATAATCAATCATGCTGTAGCCTCAATAGTACTTTTGAAGCAAAAAGTACTATTGAGGAATAGAGCTTGCAAAATAATTGTAATATGGCTTAATACCTATTCATAGCCCGAATGACCTAAAAACTTACTACAAATGGTCAAATAAAGTTCTATTGTTATCATGGAGGCCTGTGAAAGTGCATGGATTTACTAAAGGCTTATAATCATAGCAAGGGACTAGAGCAGAGTTGACCTGAATTCTTAAAAAAATTCAAAAAAATCAAAGCAAAATAAACCCTAATCCTAACCCTAATTTATCATTGAAATACATACAAAAGGAATTTATCATCAGGCCTTTTAATCATGTCTATGTAACACATTCATCTTATGAAATGTTACTTTCAACTTGCATTTTATCAGGTCAAAATATGAGAATCACATATTTGTTTCACAAAACATACCAAATTTTCCCTTCCCTAATTTCTTTGTTCATAGTTAGCTCAGGAATTCTTATACTGTTTTAGTTTGCCAGTAGCATGTACAAGACAGGTGGTAAAGTTGATTACAGGTAGTCCTCGACTTACGACCACAATTGAGCCCAGAATTTCTTTTGCTAAGCGAGACATTTGTTAAGTGAATTTTGCCCCATTTTACGACCTTTCTTGCCAAAGTTGTTAAGTGAATCACTGCAGTTGTTAAGTTAGTAACACAGTTGTTAAGTGAATCCAGCTTCCCCATTGACTTTGCTTGTCAGAAGGTTGCAAAAAGTGATCACAATGAGTTGGGACATTGCAACCATCATAAATTAAATACCAGCTGCCAAGCATCTGAATTTTGATCATGTGACCACAAGGATGCCATAACGGTCTGGAAAATGCTCATAAGTCACTTTTTATAGTGTCATTTAACTTTGAACAATCACTAAAGAAGTGATTGTACATCGAGGACCACCTGTAAACTGTAAATAGATCACAACACAGAGCTCTTGCTAAAACTTTGCCCTACAGTGTTGCCTGGGATAGTCATCTAAATAGTCTAAAATGTATATGATATAATAGATTGGATTTTCTCCAAACTGATATACACTAGGATTTCTGAACTAAAGGTATTCCTCGACTTATGACCACAATTCAGCCCAGAATTTATGTTGCTACAGGAGAATTTTGTTAAGTGAGTTTTGCCCCCATTTTATGACTTTTCTTGCCACATTTGTGAAGTAAATCATGGCAGTTGTTAAGTTAGTAACACGGGTGTTAAGTGAATCTGGCTTCCCCATTGGCTTTGCTTGTCAGAAAATTGCAAAAGGGGATCACATGACCCTGGGAAACAGCAACGCTCATAAATATGAAACAAGTGTCTGAATTTTGATCACGTGACCATGGGGATGCTGCAAAGGTCGTAACTGTGAAAAATGGTCGTAAGTCACTTTTTCCAGTACCATTGTAACTTCGAACAGTCACTAAATGAAGTGTTGTAAGTGGAGGACTACCTGTACTAGTATGTCAGCTTTCTTATGTTCCCTAAATAAGATCCTAAAATATATAATTTCACATAAGAAAAGTAAACATAATGTACTGGAAATAATTCTGCCAATTGTAGAATTTTCAGTTAAGATTCTCCTTTTTTGTCTCTTCACTTCCTTTATTCTTGGTTATTGTTATTTTGTGTTTTTTTATTTTATATTTGTTATTTTGACGGCAGTTTATCTTGTTCTAAATATATGGTAAACCATTTTCAGTGCACATCTTATTTAAAGAGGTGGGGTTTAAATTTTAATCAAAATAAAAACATTTAATTTAAATGTTAAGTAAATATCCTACCTGTATGTATATTTACAAGATCAGAATTAATATCTGAAACACTAACACTTAGACTTAAACAATTAAAACAAATTTTATTATTTTAATTGCAAACCAACAATTAAAGAAAACTCCTAAAAGGATGACAGCATTATGGTGGCCAATGCAATAGAGAATTAAATAAGCAGTTAAGAAGAACGCTAAAATGTATTAAGTCTCCAGTTTATTTACAACAAAATAACGCAATAATGCAGTAATTGAATACAGGAAGAAATTTGGTTCATAGACATTTTCCTTTGCACTTATTTTGCAGCAATTGTGGCTTGTATAGAGTGACCTATTCTACAGTACAAAGATATCAACTTGTTTACAATATTATGAACACAATTAAGCAGCCAATGCTAAATTAATCCCATCATTTAACTATGACACTCTGCTTGGAGTGAAGAACAACAGTTTTTTGATTGTCACATGCTATTGCATTTACATGGCATCAAAAATATGAAAAAGCGTATGTTCCTTGGAAATCTGTCGCTTGCACAGTTCCTAGTATCTTTCTTCATGTTACATAGAACTGAAACTATTTAACCTCCTATTGCGATTATGGGAGTCCTGCAAATGTCTGATTTAATGAAATTCATCAAGTAGTCAAAATAGATCAGTATTTATGCTTCCACTTTGCAGAATTACTAACTGCCTTGAGGGAAATTGAAAAGCTTGAAGAGTAACTAATTCATACGAAACAGCGAAAGCTTACAAATTTATTCCAGGAACATGCTGTGCCTTAGTATTAAGAGAAATCATATACCATTGAGCGTATAATTTCTTTATAAACAACTAATTTATACAGAATTTTTAAAATTATGCACCGTGTACAATTGTTATGCTTCTTCATCATGGCTATGCTCAGCTCCCCACCATAGCTCTGATTATAGCAATCTACGATTCAATGGTTCTACCTGCAGCTGATCTGCTGTGAAACTGGTTCGAGCTCTTTTTGCTGGTTTGGGATGATTAACATCTTGCTCTGTTAATAATGCACCTTCTACACTAATACCATTCCCTGAAATTAAAGAGAGAAGAAGTCCAATTGTAGCACTGATGTTAGTTATTATTTACAGATATTCCTTTATAATCAACTTCTAGTATTCAGAATATACTTAAACTACGAAAATATCCATTATTTACTATTTTGAAACAGATAGTCTGGAATTTGAATATTTATATACATTTTACATATTTCATAATTATTCAGAATAACGAAATAATTTAAAGCTGTTTTTCAGAGTAACATCTGTATTAAAAACCTAGTCTATGTCTAAAAATAAATTCACGAGCTACCAGACAGATTACAACATGCAGGTAAAAATTAGTTTTATTTTGCAATTAGCAGAGGTAAATAATCCAATAAAATCAATGTTCATATAGATAACTACTATCTAGTTTCATAGACACAACTTTTCTCATTGGCTAAATTTTGACAACCAAATCTACCCAATTGAAAACATTGAAATGAAGTGAGCATATGTTTCCTTAAAAAGGCAGTCAATGTTAATATGTTTTGAAATCTAATTATGCCAAACAACCTATTATGCCTTGTTTTGACATTTTTAGTGAAGTCTTTTTTTAAAAACACCTTTTACCACTCAGAATATTATCACCAAAATGCTTAATACAAATAAAAAATACAGGTAATCTGTATTCTGACAACTAGTGTTTTAGGATAATTTTCACCACAGCCATATTCCTGATCATGATTAAAATTCTCCAGACAGGTTAAAAGCTACTGAAAGTCAACTTCTCTTAATGCTGTATCCACACTATCAATGACACATTAACTTATCCAGCTAGAAATTGATTTTCAAAATGCATTCAAAAATTGACTTTAAGATTCAGGATGGCATGTGAATCTTAAAGTATAGACGTAAGGAAGAACACAGAAGCTTTATGAGCTATCCTACGTGGATACCCACACCAATTAATTAACAGTAAAAGGACAGTGGAAAACTGGTTTGTAAAATGCTGGAGGAGAAGGAACTATCTGCATCTCCAGAAGAATGAATTCTGTTCTGGGGACCAGAACTGAAAAGGCCTTTCCTAGGACAAAAGGAAACTTACCGTTTTCAACTTCTCTTTTCAAGTTGTCCAACATGCAATCATAATGCACCCTACAGAGGACTTTCTCTTCAACCAAAGCAAACTCCTCTCCTGTGGAGAGCTGCCTTTTGCAGGAGAAACAGGCAAAGCAGGCCAGATGATACACGTTTCCCTTGGCTCTTCGAACCCAGTCAGTAGAATGGATGTGCCTACCACAGCGAGAACAGCGTGTTCCGTACCGTCTACAGAAGAAGAGGAAGAACGAATGAAACAAAAGTCATGAACCTGATTCTGTAACATTATTTTGCCTGAAATTTACATTAAATGCTATTGGCCTCATAAAAACCCAAATTTGGATTGTTTAATTTCCATTGCATTTTATCAACCAACAGAAAAATTGCTTTTGTATTGTTGACAAGTCATTCCTTTATGCCTTCCAGGGCTTCTGAAGAAAACCATAAGGGAGATACCTAAGCATAATACCTAACGGGGTTATTCAGGAACCCCAATGTTATATTATATACATGAGGTTATACTGGATTTTACCTTGATGTAGTTGAAATTGCTAATCCTTTTCAACTGTGTTTCTTTGTGAAATGTATCATCAGTCAGCTAGAATCCTTAATCTTTTGAATTCCATGTTTTTTTAAAAGCCCAAATGTCAAGAGACATGCTATTTTGAACAAATATGCTATTTTGTGTTCAAATGATCATTTAAAAGCAGGGGGAGAGTACACACAATATTTAAAACAAAAATAATGGACTGTTAAAAATCCAAACAAAATGGTTTAATTGTAATAGCAACTAAATGATGGAAGTAAGATATTAGAACTCAGCACTAGCAGTGAAAACCAAAATTAACCATCCAACCCCAGTAAATGCTTCGCAAATTTGGTCAAGATTTAGGCAAACAGTAGATTCTTTGATTTCAGATTATGGAGTATACCATCAAAAATGCTCTTCAGGCACACAATACTGGATATAGATTAAATCAGGGGTGAAATCCAGCAGATTCTGACAGGTTCTGGAGAACCGGTAGCGGAAATTTTGAGCAGCTCAGAGAACCGGCAGTGGAAATTTTGAGTAGTTCAGAGAACCGGCAAATGCCTCCTCTGCCTGGCCCCAGAGTAGGGTGGGAATGGAGATTTTGCAATATCCTTCTGCCAGGAGTGGGGAGTGAATGGGGATTTTGCAGTATCCTTCCCCTGTAATGGTATGGGAATGGAGATTTTGCAGTATCCTTCCCTGCCACGCCCACCAAGCCACACCATGCCCACCAAGCCACGGCCACAGAACCAGTAGTAAAAAAAGATTGTATTTCACCACTGGATTAAATACATTATATTTATATACTGGAATCTATGGGAAATTAATGGCAAGAGCCCTATTTCCATAGAAAATTGTATCTTTCTCTTTATTAAAATTGTTGAAAGAGAGCCTCCAGTTTGGATAAAGACCACAGTAAAATCAATATCTACCTCCATTCTAATCCCAATCGGATGACTCAATTATGAGTAAAAGGAAATATATATATATATATATATATATATAAAATGATCAATATCTCAGAATCACTTGGCTTTTAAAAAGAGATATGATATGCTTACCATAGCCTATTTAATTTCCTCATAACCTATAATTTATGAACAATTTTCAAGGGCAGCTCCACACAAGAATGTTTTGCAGTAATCCAAATAGATGGTTTCTGCTAAGTGAGATAGAGATTTCATATATAGAAACACTTGTTTAAATATTTTGACAATATTCACTCACTCTATTGCTATCAACTGAAAGAAAAATAAACTGAGAATGTTAAGAAACGTATGATAGAGTGTGCAACAGCACCACTAAACCTGCCAAAAATCAATGCAGTTAATGCCCAAAACATCTTTAGAAGTTTACTAAAATTTTCCAAACCTCAGATTTGAAAATTAAGGTTTCACAAATAATTATAATAAATAATGCAGGCCACCTATACTTACATATCTGGATGAAAAAATGTTGGTCAAGTATAATTAAAATGAGTTTCTCATTTCTTTATGTAAAATGAAAAGTGCAGGTTTATGCTGCGGTCATAAATCCCAAACCCTTAGTAATTAAATGCTACATTTTCACTTACTCTTTCAAATAGCAGTAGTTTACTCTAGCAGTAAAGTACTTCAGTGATGTATCTTAGTTGGTATGAATGCTCTGAAGAGAATAGTTACTTCCCCATTGTGGAGACAGTGAACTAGAAATACTTTAGTGCTAGAGAAAGTAACTGCACTTTGTGAAGGTAAACAGATGCAGATAGGAAGAAGACAGTAAGACTGAACAGAAAACATCTTAGGAATTTTAAACTTTTTTTTGAAAACTTGAACCTACTGTCAAATAGAAAAAAAATCATCCAAGATAATTGTGTTTGTAGGGTCCTTGGTGCTCTCTGAGCTTGTTTTCTTGTAGAGGTTTCATTACCAACCTAGGTAACATCAGCAGTGCTAGAAGGGAGGGAGTTTTGCTCTATATTTATATACAAGTGGCCCTTGTAGCACTGCTAATGTTACCCAGTTAGGTAATGAAATGTCTTGAAGAAGACAACCAAGCTCAGACAGAAGGACACTAGAGTTCAACCGTGCACTACAAATATTCTCTTCTATTGACAAATGTGTTTTTCTAATTATGTATCACCCCAAGCAAATAATAATACTATTGGGCAATTTTTATGTTCCATCTAATGGGTAAAAGAGAAATAAAATAATGTTTTCATCAGGACCAGATATGTGACCCAGTAACATTAAGCACTTCATCCATTCTGATTTCAGTAAGAAAACTAATCAACTACCACACTGAGGGCAAAACAAATATTCCGGCCTCTGATCACATATTCTGGCATACACATTTTGAGGTATGCAAAGGGGAGTGGGGCCAACATATCATTCCCATTAGGACAAAGTAGGATTCCAGATTTCTAGTTCATTGAATATTAAAGTTACCATACACAATACAAGGATTTTAAAAAGCACCTGGAATTTTAGTAATTAGCTAAAAAAAAAAAAACCCACAGCAAATATAATCTGCTTAACATTAGCAATTACTTTTCAGCATGTACTTTTACACCTCTCTTTTAAATATAATATATTCAAGATAATTACCTGTAACCCCCATATTCCACCAAGTTTATAGAGTGGCCAAGGATTATATAGTTGTACATTGCCATCAATATTAATGGGCTTGACAAGCCCACAGTAAATAAAAGCTTACAATTATCTGAACAAAACAAAAACAATTCTATTTTAGTGCCCAAATGAGAGTAATGGTTGGCCAGCAGTGGCATGAATTGTTCATGCTTATACTATGTTCCCTAGTACTCTTCAAGCTTCAAATTCCTCCTCACAGTATAAAAACCACAGTTCTTGAGTAATATTTTGACCAAAACTAGATAAAACCTACTTAGCTACAATAGGGGTATGCAAAATCCTACTACACCCAGCATCACAAAATTACCAGGTCAAATAGCACCCTACAATATGGCTGCTGCTACCATTACATGATTAAACCAAAAGTCTGGGAGAAAACTCACTGTGTAAAGAAATCTAAATTAATGTTTAGACTAAATCTGAAATCTAAATCTAAACTAATCTAGCAAGATGCAAAGTAAACTTTGCCTCTCTATAGAAATAGTTTGTTCCTAGGAGAATCTTTTAAACTGAAAGTAAAGCTATACTATACATTTTGTGTCTTCAGATAATATTCCATCCAAAGCAAATTGAACATGCATCTTTACACATAAAAAAACAGTCCACAGATTTACATTTGCTGTTTCAAAATAATAAAATGTACTTGAGTTGCACAGTATACCTGAAATAATCTAGTTTGCAGAAAATGTCTTTGTCTTTGATATAGCAACTGGTATGCCTTCCTAAAGAGGTCCTGCATACACTGCAGGAAAGACAGCGTACATGCCAGCACATATCATTTACCTAGGAAGGAAAAAGAAAATTGAAATCTGACATCACTTATTTGGGTAATTTATAAGAGTTAACAGTGTAAAATGATTTTTAAAAAGGTTCTAATATTGCACATATTTGAAAAGATAAAGCTGAGTTCCTGACGTTGTGATTCTGTTGAGAACAATGAGTTCCTTGACCTGTTTCTGGCTTGTTGAGTTTTGAACATAGACATATGTACAAATTATGTACAAATTATTTTAATAATAATACATTTTAATAAAATATTAAATTATTTAATAATTGTAGTAGGAGTGAAGTGGCTAATAAGATTACAGACACACTTAATTCAAAATAGTATCATGTAAAATTATGTCAGCATGAACCTCTAATTCACAAACTAAGTGTAACAACTATGGCAATTGCCACTTGGTGAAATTTACCATTGATACCTCACATCTTGAATTGTCCCACTACATCAGACAATATGCTGAAATATGTTCCTGTAGAGACATGCAATTTTTGTATCTTTTCATGTAGAAAAGTAAATTCATATATCTGAATAGGCACGTATAGAATTGCAGTGTCTAATCCTGGATAAGGAAGTTATGATAGACCATAGAGGTCGGAAGCATGTTTCATATAATTGAAACGAACCAAATTTTAGCACATTTAGACATGTATTAAGAGAATATAAGAGGGTTTTTCCTCTATCATTACTTTTAAGACATTCTTAATTTATGACACGAAGTTCAGAACATGATTAATAGGGGCATTCTAGTTCTCCTGTGACATCTTTTTTTGAAAATGAGAGCTATTTTTGCAGTCAAAACTATACATTTTATGAATATTAACATACAGTTTGATGTAAGTATAAGATAAATCTACTTTCTTTGGACTGACAAAAATAATAAAATTGGCCTTAGTAAGATGTTATGTGAATGGTTTGTCAGTAATGCTATACTTTCAATAAGCAAAAATTATTTTTTCGACCCACACTGTATGATTTCTTAGAATTGAATTTTTGAAGTGCCTTTGAGCTTAAATTAAAATGTCAGCATACTACACTCAGGTTTGGTAAAATAACATCAATATATAAATAAATAATATTGCCTGAATATGAAAACAAATTAAAATTAGCATTAATGTTGTAGAATTGACTGTTAACTAGACAAATATTTTTTTTTGATATGTTATGTTGTGATATGTTATAGTACAATAGTTTAAAGTTACAACACTAAGAATTGGAAAATAATAGTTATACAACTTTCTGAATGTCTGGACTGGATGTTTTATAGCTAAATAATACCAATTACCCCATAAGAAATAAAAAAAAACCTTAAGATTTCTTTGATGCCGCTAGCAGTTTAGAAATAAAAAAAATATAGGGGCCAGAGAAAGTTAATAACATTCATGTATTTAGTATTCTTTTACAAGTTTATAATTGCATTTCAGTTTTCAAAAATTGCCTTACCCAACATCAATGTGTTTGATAATTTCCAGAACTTTGGCTTTAAACTTTTGGCATTGCATGCAACACATTAGGAAAGTTTGGTTTGTAGTTAAACAATAATAAATTGTTCTTTTGTTTACAGCAAATCAGCTCCTGTCATGTATTTCCCAAATTCAGTTTTTTAAAACTATGGGTAAATGAGAACATTACAAAAACTTCTGCAATAATTATTCCTGAATATACTGTTTATTAGTTATTAGGAAGACAATGGTTTTTAAAGAAAAAACAGACACAAGCACAGGCTTAACATCATTGGATGATTTCACTGGATGTCATCTCAATAAAATGAGTCCATATGCGTTTTTAGAACTCATAGCTATGATCAATGTGGTCTGAGTCTATTTGCTTTTCAGTTCCTTTGGCAAGCTTTTAAATGTAGCATTTACTGTGGATAAATATTTAATACCAAGGTGTTCTAAGTCCAGTTTGAAGACTTAGGCTAAGATGTCCAGCAGGGAATGAAACAGGGGTTTTTTTTTGTTTTGAGAGGAAATATTCTCCTACTCAACAACTCCATAGAGCTAAAAAGCAAGAAAAATATGAAAATAGCTTGTTTTAGCCTTAGGTCCTTATCAGCAGACAATTAAAGCAATTTGATTCTTGGAAAGTGACACTTCATAAATACATACATACATACAAAGATATTTATTTAGCCTGACTGAAATGTTGAATTATTTATAGGAAGCTATTGCCAAGTGCAGCAATATGTCAACTATAAAATCAAAACTACCGTCCTTTAACAATAAAATCAGGCTGCAGTTTAGATTAGATCCTTGCCCATTTACCCATAAGTCATTCATAAATTGCATTTAAATTTACTATATACAAATATTTAAAATCACTGTGCCTATAATTATAGAATGTGCTGAGAAGATGCTGTTTTACAACAAACATGTGAATTAAAAATCAACAATCTTTACTATATCTTAATGCATATTATCCCTGAACCCATTCATCGTTTAAATATTAAAATTAACATAAAGTATTGTTTGCCTTTTAATACTGCGCTGCCCTAACTTTCCTGAATTAATAGTGACCAAATATGCAAATTAATTCAAGAGTGTTATGTTATTTCTCAAAGGCCAAAGAAGATGATATTCTGCCACGTTTCATAGAGGTACATTCAGTTGAATTTAATTTCCTTTAAACATTAAGTCTGGTTGATAGCAACCTGAATTAAGCTCACCTGATGTGATCCATTAAAACAAAGAAAGCAGAAGGCACGATTTGGAAATATTTGGGATGGCATCCGGGCTATTTTTTCAAATTAATCCCAAAGATATTTTATAATTACAAAGTATTTGAAAACTAAGTTTCTCTTTGTGATAACTTGCCACTGCTTATCTATTATAATGAAAGGGAATTATTTCAGCAATACTTTTTTCTTTCCAAAGTTGTATTTATTCTACAATCTTTTCTTCTGTACAACAAACAACTGCTATAGGTTGCAACAACGCTATTGAAGAGTCTTTAAAGTCAACAAATGTATCCACCAGGAAGAGTCACAATAGTCTGCAATCTTTATTCAGCTACAGAAAGTAAGGGTAGCTCTCCCCATTCCCACTATTCTTGCAGATAAGATAAGCAATATTCTAAAAGGCTGTTTCTGTTCCAGTCTTAAGCCATTTCTTCTCCCAGACAGAGAAGTTTATTTAGCTTATGCTGCAGCTCCCCTTCCAGAAAATTACTGCCATGCCAACTGGCAACTCTGCTAAATCCTTCTCATTCACAGACCCAGTGTTTGCTCACCTTCAGTAGGTACTTGTCCACAATCTCTAGACCACAACTATTACAGATGCATTTGCTGGACCCGCAGCTGCCTGAGCCAGAAGCCAGGGAACGGGGCGAAGAGGAGGGCGACAGCGGGGTGGAAGAAGAGCAAGAATCCTCATCAGCCACCACCTCTGGACTCACCTGTCACAGAGACACAAGCACAGGTCTGTCAACAGCGAGACTCTGTTCCTTCCCCCGCCCCCCTCCAGAGCCCATTCAATCCGAGTAATGGGGCAAAGGCTCTTTCGAAGCCTTTCCCCGCTCAGGTCTACTACTACGACACAAGCTCGATTGGCGGCATTGTCTATGGAGATTCTTAGCCACCCAGGTCATTCTTTTTGTCCCAAAGGGTTTTTTCCCCCTCAGTTCCTCAAGAGGCAACTTGGACTGCCTTTGTTTTTTCTTTGAAGACGTTTCGCTTCTCATCCAAGAACCGAAGAAGCTTCTTGGATGAGAAGCGAAACGTCTTCAAAGAAAAAAAAAACCACTAGAAAGTCCAAGTTGCCTCTCGGAAAAAAAAGTATATTTTGGGACGTGATTGGCGACGGGTTTTTTTTTTTTCCCCTTGCCGCTACTTTCATCTCATCTTAAACCACCCCTCAAGGCAATGCGCTCCATCTCAAGCCAACAACAAGGACAATCTCCAAGCGTGTAAAAACCCGTTAGGGTTAAGTCAGGCGGCTGTGACGAGCCCCGAGGACAGGCTGAGGCAATCGAGGCACCGCCGGCTGAGGAGAACCAACGCCGCGTGCTACAACTCCCAATCACCTCGGCTTGCGAGGCCGCCTTTTCCCGCCCTCTCTCCCCTTGGCGTCTTCTTACTCCCGAAACCTCGTTTCTTTGGGGACCCTCCTCACAAGTTCGGGCTCAGAGCCGCCGCCGCCGCCCCGTTCCCTCCGGAAAGCAAAGAAGGGGGTCGCTAGCGCCTGCATTCGCCCAATCAGCTCCCTCGCCAAATCAAGGCGGGAATTGGAACCCGGGGAGCCGCCGGCAGTGACCTTTTGGCACAGCCCTCCGCCTCGTGCCTGCCTGCCACGTTCAAGCGCTGTGAGGGCGCTTCTGGGGCCAGCTGTCCCTCCAGGAAAGTTCCAGCCAACCGATACAATCCCCCCCTCCCTTTCACGTGTTTCAACCCACTTGAAGGCCTTTGGCAAGTTCCAAGGACGCCTCCCCAAATAGTCCTCTCTCTCTCTCTTCCGTTTCGTCAGGGGGTTACGGCGCGAGTCCCTCTTACCAGCCCTGTGTCTCCGACGCTTTTCCGCCTCCTTCCAGTCACTGCGGCAGCGGCTGCCCCTCGCTCGCTCTCCTCAGCCATGAGCTTCGGGAACTGCAAAAGAGAGACCAGACCGCCTTAGCGCCTCTCCGAGAGCGCCGAGAACCCTGAGGCGAGGTTTCCTCAGTGTGCCTGTGAGGAGGAGGAGGAGGAGAGGGAAGGAAGCGGGGCTGTCGGCCTCCCACCCAAAGAAAGTTAAACAAGGGCAATTAGAGGGCGACGCCGACCCCCCCGCAAGTCAAACCTTCGAGCGCTAAGTGCAGCAGCAGCAGCAGCAGCCTCCCCAAAAGCCGGCCCGGCTGCCAGAGCCGGCCTCGATTTGAATGAAAATGCCTCAGCTTGCTTAGCGCTCGAGCGGCTCGCTGCAATTAAGAAGTCGCCCACCACTTCCAGCTCTGGCCTTCGGAGGTTGTAAATTGCCACTTAAAACTCTCCGGGAGGAGTTAATAGGCCGAGGGAACCACTCGACTCGAGAAATTATAACACACACACACACACCACACACACACACAACTGACGGGAAAATGGAGAGTCCCATGAAAAGGAGAAGCCTTGAAACCAGAAGCCAGCTGAATTTAATTGAGGCGTCATTAAAAACAATTGGTCCTTGGGTCAACTGGAGGGAGGGGGCATACATAAGAAGGCTTGACACGGCGAGGCGGCTGGGCTCTTTCGACCTCCCTCAGCAACCCCGCTCGGGGGCCGAACAAAGCCGCCCCAGCCCTCGCTCTCCCTTATCAGCTTCTTCGAATCAGTCTCAATTACCTCAGGGTCGCCTCACTCGGAGGAGTTGCCTCCTGACCCTACCAGAGCCGTTAAAGAGACAGAGCTCAGGCAGCCTCGGCCGCAGACGACTGAGGGAGCCGAGTTTAGCCGTCTCCAGTCTGGAAAGACCCACCAAGGCGAATTTGTCTTACGGAGATTCTCAATCGTCCAGGTCGGTTGTCCCAAAAGTGCTTCGCCCACCAAGGCAACTAACTGGACTTTCTTGGGTGGTTTTTTTCTTTCATTGAAAACGTTTCGCTTCTCATTCAAGAAGCTTCTGCAGTTCTCAAAGAAAAAAAAAGTTCAATTGCAATTTTGGGAAAGAAAAAAAAAATCTTTGGGACCACCGAGGTGAAATTGCCACGGCGAAGACCGAACTGGCCCTGGGCGAGTTCTTCCCCGCCTTGGTCCCTCTCCTAGAACTTGCCTGGCACCTAACAACTGAGTTGGCACTCTTTCAGGGGTTTTGTTTTTTGTTTTAAATAAAAAGGCCCTTTAAATAAAAAGGGAAACGGGTCTCCACGAGTAAAGGCCGGAGCCAAATCTCACCCCCGCTCCCCGTGTTCCCTGCTTTGGCTCTTCGGGCAGGAGGACCCCGATGGAAGAATGCAGGACAGCCATCAACCCGCAACCCCGCGATCGCTTGGTGTTTCTTTCCCAGAAATGGAATATGGGGTTCAATTGATCTGGCGTCAGTCTGGCCAAATTAAAGCGAGTCGCTGTGTCTTTAACCAATTGACTCCGGGTTGAAATGAAAGTTTCAATTAGCTGATACAAGTCCTAAATGAAGAAGAAAAAAAAAACTATGGGGAAAAAAATTAAGACGGTCTGCGATATATCACTTACCCCGGATTAGTCCCATAGAAGACAAAATAATGACTTTAGGATTCTGGCTCTGGCTTGTTGATTGCCGGGAAATGTATGTTAATAAAATAAAATTTAAAAACAACAACAACCAAGGTAGTCTGCTGGTTAGAATGTATTACCTTAAATAGTTCGAAGCCAGGAAACAATCCTCAAGCCACACGAAGGCTTAAAGTCAAGGGACTACTCCAGAGTAAGTGGCTGAAGCGGCGCCAGTCCTCTAGCCTAAATATTCGATTAATTTAGATTTCCTCCCGCAGATGTTTCGTACTAACGTTTCCTATTTAACTGAAAAGTCAGATTAGGGGGAAAAAATAAATACAGGCAAAACTGTAGTTTATCCTCTCCTTGAATCTCCTTTGCAGCTGGGGCCACTGATTTGGCGTCAGGTCAGACCGTGCTAAATTTGCTTTCAGATATTTTGGAATCGGAGGAAGAAAACGCATCCACCAGACGAAAGTCGCCCAGCGCAGGAAAAGAACCGGGAAGGGAGAGAAGCTTTTGCTAACCCCGCGATCAACCAGCCCAAGTGGTTTCACTGAAAGACACGAAATTACTCCGGAGCAAAGGGCCTATTGCAGGTGGGCCGGGGGGAAAAAAAAGGCAAGGCAAATTCGAATCCGCTTCGGTTCATAGAGAGCTCAGAGCAGGAAGGCGAGCTGCTTTAGAAAACTCCCGGCTCACCTTCTCCGTCGCGAGGCGAAGCGCAGGCACGTCCTTCTCCAGTTTACACACAAACATCTGGCTGCTCTTCCAATACATGGCCCAGGGCTGGGAGCGCTCCTCGCAGACCCCCTCCCCCCGCACGGAAAAAGCCTCTCCGAAGTCCACCGGGCCGAAAAGGAGCGCCCGAGCCTCCCGATCTCCTCCTCCTCCTCCTCCTCTTCCTCCTCCTCTTCCCGGACTTGGGATCCGCGCCGTTTCCCGCCAGCCCTCTTCCTAAGCGCTCTGCTCGCCTTCACTGAGGTCAGACCCTGGCAGAAAAAAAAGTTTTGCTTTCAAGGGGGTGGACCCTGCAAAGATGGAGCGCGCCTCTTGGCTGGCTGCTGGAGCCTCACCTCCTGGCGTAAAACCCGCCTTCCAGCCACGGCCAGATCGCTATCGCCACCAAGCCAAAAGAGTCGCTCTGGGGAGCGCCTTTTTCTGCCGTTTGGATTTTTTTTTTTTAATAAAGGGGAAGGAGCAGGTTAACGCTGGATTACCCACCACGGTCCTCTCCCCCCCTCTTTTTTTTCTCCATTCCACCCGGACCTCCAGCGGATCATCTGCCGCTGAGCGCAAGCGAAAGCCAGAGAGGAGGACGGCGCGAATATTTCAGCATCTTTGCGTTGTTCAGCGCTCCTTTCTAGAGGCGAGCGAGAAGACGAGGCTGGACAAGAGCAGGCCGGGCCTTGGACAAGACGGCCCGGATAAAAACTCTCTCCTTAAGGGGACACGCGAGAACATCCGAGGAGCCCCAAAGTCCCGCAGGGGAGATCAGAGGCGGGTTAATCAGCGCAAACCTCCAGGCGGGAGGGCGCAAAACTCCTGCATCCGATTTGCCAGCCCCATCCCGCAGGCCAAGTCCACATTTCCGAAAACCCTCGGACCCGGACCCTCGAGATGCCCGGCGGGCGATCAGACTCCTCCGCTCTTTCGGAGACAGCGCCGGCGGCGTTGGATCCGTCTATTCTGCGCTCCGCTCCCTTCCCTCCTTCCTCGCCGGGCTTAAGAAAGGAGGGAAAACGGGCGGCGGCGCTTCGAGCGGCGAAAGTCAGGCGGGTGTTTCTATCCAGCGGTGAGTGACTTTGACCATTCGGGCCAGAGCCAGGCGTGAGCCTTTAACCGACGGCCCCGGGAACCAAGGCTAAACAAATCATAACTTATGCTTTAGTCTGTTGTAGTTAGTAACAAGCGATAGCTAAGGGTGGCTTGTTTAACGGGCAATTTCCAAGCAAGCAACTGGCTCACTTGATATTTGGACCACCAGATTACTCTTTCCAAGTAACTCCGCTGTTTTTCGTCAACGTTTAGCAACGATCATTTAAGTTGCAATAAAGTTTTTAGCTTGCCCGCCTTTTGGGTGAATTCTTACCAGTAACTAAATTCGTTTAATCGGGGCGGATCGCGCTGCGTCCCTCTAACGGAGACTCGCATCGCGTTGCCGCCGCGCAATATGACCCCGGGTCGTGTTTATTCAAACGCTGACCTCGGTGAGGCTGCCTCTCTTGCTTTTAAACCTTCCAGAGTTGGCTGTGATCTTCAGCACGCAAAGCTAACCATAAGGCTCCTTCAAGTTTGCTTTATGTAAAGGGGAGCCCTATCTTGATTCTTTGTAAATGATTTGTTTTCCTTGGATCGCTTAAAAACGCAGCATTTTCTCTCGAGGATAAAATCTCTCGGTTCTGGGGCATTCTTGCTTTTTCTCGCCCTTCCCACCGTCTGTAAATTCTCTGCTGCTGGCCATCCTGGCGTGCTACCCAAATTAACCCGCGGGTTGGCGCGGGGAAGGGCGCTCTTTCCGCCGGAGACAGCTAAGGCAGGGGGATTTCTGCGCAATGATTTTAGAAAAGCGGCTTTAAGGCGAAGTAACTTTGACTCTCGAGCGCGTCAAGGCTCGCCTTTCAACATCAACTCCAGCGACCAAAGAAAGCCCAAGTTGGCAGGAGGAGACCCGGCGCGGATCCTTATCAGGTTTAAATCCGCCTCGCTCGGACTGCTGCAGAGCAAGGACTGAGCGAAGCTGGTCACTGGCCGCGAAAAACACCTCGGAGTGCAGCGAAGCGTAACTCGCAGCTTCCGAAGAATCCGCAGAGCCGGATCGCAGCATTGAACGCGGAGAAAGCGAACGGTTTCCTTCCTTTCTTAAACCCAGCGAAAGAAATAACACCAACGAGGTTACTTAGTTTGGGTAATGAAATGCCTGCAAGGAAAGCTCAGAAAGGACCAAGGACCCCTCAATTTGGGCTCAGCCGGCCGGCCCGAAGTTACAGAGGTTTCGGACAGTGTCAGACTCTCCTTTTTAAAGAAATGACTTTCTAGCTGTGTTTGTCTCAGATTAACCTGTCAGTCGGCTGTATGTGTGTCTTTCTTGCGGCGGGGAAGGGGGTGTCACACTCATTATATGCCCCCAAACATACCTTTTGGGGTTTTTTTTATAAATAAACTACAATTCGTTAGCGGGCTTCTTGGAACCACTTCGCCCATCCTTTCCAGTTTGCCTCCCGAGATAGCAGAGGACTGAGCGAGATGCTAAAAGGCCTTCTCCTTTCTCCGGATTTAGGGGCAAAAGCAGCTCAAATTATGACTCGATTTCTGAGCCTACCGTTTGCAGCGAGTGTTACCGCCTTCAGCGGCTGGGCAAGCAATGGCTTCAACTCCTATCCATCAGCTGGTGTGAGCAATGGTCCAGAATGATGGGAGTTGTAATCCAAACCGTCTAGTATTTCCTAATATTAGAGGAAAATTGACCCACACTCACAATCCAGACCCTTGAGACCAAATCCAGACCCTAGAGACTTTCAGAGGCCAAAATGATGCTCTGTACGATTTCCGTCGTGCTTGACCCTTGCTAATACTCTTGAATATGGGAAAGTCCCGTATTGGACAAAGGTATTGGGGACCACCTTGGCGGCTGACGTGACTGGCAATGGAAATCTCCCTCCCCCCACCCCGTCCTAAAAAAATCAATTTAGAAGTTTCAAAATTATAGTGTGTATATGCATAATTATAGTGTATATGCATATAATTATTTACTTTTGTAAGGGGTGCGAGAATATATCAGAAGCGTTCTAGGGGTGCGGGATTATAGAAAAGGTTGGGAACCTCTGATCTTCCTTCTACCCCTCCCTTCTATTGGGGACTTCTGATCTTCCTTCTATCGGAGGAAGCGGTCGGATAGAATCCATCCCCCCCCCCAAAAAAATCGCTTTCGGGCATCAGGCCAGAGTGATTTTTCAGTTGTGATCCATCAGCCCTCTCTTCCTTCCAGAGAAGTCATGGCGCCACTTCCGGAGGAGGGACCCCTCCGGGAAGCGTTTGACAGCAGTAAAGGAAGAGAGTTCATCTGCTTTATGCGTTCGTACCCCTCCCTGAATTAATAGCTGGGGTCGAGTTGCCACATCGAAGCCTGTGGCCGTGGCTAGCTCCTAGGACATTCCTGATCGGCTGAGCCGTTTTCCTAAATCTCTTTCCTAAATCTCGGGCCCCCAGCAGCTTCCAGCAGATTCTCTTCTCCAGTTGGTCCTGAAGGATCGCGCTGAAACGGCTCGCATTTGTCGGAAGGGAAAATGTACTTCCCCCTAACTCGTAATTTGCACGTTTTTTCCCCCCTGTAGCCTCTTTAGGAGATCCCTTCGCTTTATCCATCAGAGGCACATTAACTTTATAGTAGAAAGGATCAAAAGAGAAGTTCTCTCTCTCTCTCCCACCCTCCGTCCCTCTCCCTCTCTCTCTCCCTCCCTCCCTCCCTCTCTTTCTCTCTCTTTCTCTCTCTCTCTCTCGCAAAAGAGTGTTTCCTTTCCCGTACTGAACTGATTCGGATCTTCTTTGCAGACGAAACAAAACGCGTGTTAGAGGCTTTCACCCGAAAAGGTGCAATCAATTACAGAGCGGGTTCTGCAATGTCAGCACCAGCGCCCTCGTTCCTGGGAGGTCGTGGACTTCTTTAATCTGCTGAGAGAGGAGAGCTAATGATTGGTGAGGGGGGGACGGGGGACGAGATCGGAAGTGAGATAGAATCAAGAGGAAAAATCATTTGGGCATCAGGAAACCTGCATTTAGCTGCTTAAAGAAAGATCGGGATTTCATTTTAAGACACCCCCCCTTCTGTTTCCCACCTCCCACTAGGAGGGCTCCTTGGGGCACTGTTAACCCTGTAACTGCCCAGAGAAGTCAGTTTACTTAGGGCACCTTAATATTAATAAACACCCGAATCTTCAGCACGTTTCATTGGGAATAATTTCGAATGAAGCCCGCCAGGCTTCCATGAGTGTGTCTTGTATTGATGGATCAATCCTCAAGACTTCTGGGCTGTATTTCACTCCATCCTTATCGGGGATGGAGAACCTCCGTGAAGTTTACTTTCGAG